CGCAAACCAAAGGGAAGAATTTCCCCTACCCAGTAATGTTGTTAGTTTGCGTGGGCATACTTTGGTTCGCGTGTAAAGGCCTTGCAACTTTTGTTTACAAAAGCTTTTGTGCCGTTTTAAAATGTTACGCGAGATGTGTCATGCCTAAAAAAAATAAAACATCTGCGAAGAAGCAAAGAGTTTCTTGCAAATAATCCGATTATATACATATCCTAAAGTCTGTTGCTGAGGTACTGATTTGAAGTGACGCTTACTCTACAAAATAAATAACAGCCCATGGGCACTAATTATATTGCAATATAACGTAAAATTTTGATTGATTTATTGCTTCTTTGTTGGACTATAGTAATGGCTTCGGTGCAAAGTGAACTTCGTGGCTATAATTTATCTTTAAAATTCCATCTCAGTCGCTCACGAGACGAGCTTTATGGATGGTGAACCAGACGAAAAAGGATAGCAAAAAAAACCTTTTCCGCGCTTCGATTCTTGCATCAAACTTATCTCGTTCACGTGTTATAGCTTGACCAATGTATCGATTAAATAGTTGTTACCTGGCCTTATGACTGCTAGCATGGAATCGAATGCTAGTCGACTAGATCAGACCCGACTTTCAGACTTCATCCTCGCAGGCGTTGCCATCGCACAAAAAGTTTATTCCAACCGTTCTCAGAAAACCACGAGAGTTAAATATACACACACGGATAGGTTGATTTTGATAAAATATTGTAAATTATAGAGTCTGCAGGAGAGCAATCGATATCCTCGGAATGATGAATTACCTTGTGAAGTTTGTCGATTCAGAGAAAACAAAAGTAAAATGAAGAAAAAAATATCCGCTAACCATGGATCAGTTATCCCTAAAAGTGATGCGAATCGTTATCGTGCTGATAGTTAAGCACTCATTTTTGTTGAGGAATATCGAAGCAGTGCTTAAATATTAAGAAATAATATAAAATTTACTTGAAGCAAATCGATGCTTATTCGAATGATAAAACGTAAACAAAAGTATCCAATACCGAGTAACAAGTAGAGTATCTTTCAACATATTATTTTAAGTTTTTTGTAACACTAGCGTGTAGCAGACTCAGAGCTCCGGAATATTCATGAACTTTGCGCAGTTTTTAATCATATGCAAACGCTATCAGTAGACGAACGTTTCACTGGAGCATTTCAATTTTTTGGTTTATTTTCGGAGGTTATACTGCCTCTTTCACAGCACAATTCTATAATACCGACAAGAAGAGGTGGTACAATATTTTGAAATGGTCCTCTTTACTAAAAATAATACATCAATAAATATTAATCACATTTTTTAGTCCCGTAATATCAAACTTTTGCTTCGAATAAAATAAAAACATAATTTATTCATATAACACCAAACTGATGACACTGTATAGTACTAAAAGATTAACGCTTATATGACGTGACGAACTCCGACCAAAAATGTTCACAACAGTAGAAGTTCTCCCAAATGAGTTGTCTTCTCAGAGCAAACAATCGATGTAATTTGTCATACGAACGCGAATGTGTTGCAACCCTTCATCGAAGTTGCGTTCTACGATTATGATAACAATAAATTAAAATGTTCGTCCAGTGTTCTCTATGTTTGTGAGAGCATGCGGACATGGTACGCGTTCAAAATTGATTTATTTATTTTCATATTTATTTGTCCTGCTTCGCTGATACGCACCTCATGTTTCAACATTGCACTCTTCAGCGGTGTAGGTAAATAGGACTTTTTACAGCAGCAGTATGAATATGGAATTATTTGTAATGTTTGCAGTTCTGATTATCCACGACCAAGCTAGATGTAGGAGTGAAAAAAAATGTGATAAATCATTGTTTTCTGCTATTTCTACCTGCCTTTGACCCGCCCGCGTAAGGCTAGAAGATACCTTAGCAATTGATGTTTCAATCTACAGCTAATCATTACCAGATTACATAGGACCAGATCTCGTCGGCTCGTTTGAAACACATGTGATTAATTCATCTTTCTTCTTTGCAGGTATAACCACTGAAAATGTCTCAATCTGTCTGGTGTTGAGGTAATTTTAATGTATTTGTTGGGATGCAACCGCTTCATATCGAAGTGGGAAAATCGCCTACCTGCTAAATGGTCTTGACCCATGGGATTTTAAAATACCTTCCAAATATTTATATACATAGGATTTTTCTTACTTAAAAAAAGCATGGATCCAATTCAGCATCTCTTGAAAATAATTTCATGTAGGGTGGTCGCAACTGACAACTAATTTCCTAAATATTTCGTTATACAAGCGTTACTTTGCATATAACGGAGTTTGTGATGACATTTTTCAAATCAAGATTTCCAATAGAGCACAAATATGACGAACCTACCGTTTTCAGCAAAATGGACGGTCACCCGGGAAACTTTTCAACAAAGTATCTCGCATACACATCCATATATCTCAACATTCGCTCTCGTGCTGGTCGCCTTTGGTACTGGAGGGTAAAAGAGATAGCACATTTTTTTATGCTACATCAGTCTCAGCGACAACATCGTCATCGGGGCTGTTCGCAAAAGTAGGGGAAGAAACACAGCATTTTGATTGATGTGCAGCTAAATGAAATGTAAAAAGTGTGATGGACGAATGACGAAATGAATGATGGGAGGAAAACGACCATGTTCTGTAGGTTTATTTCCCTAGCTCTTGCGTAGGTAAACTATAATAGAAGTGTTGGTTGCTATACTTTTTGCCATGTATTTAATAATGGAACGAACTGATATTATAACTGCCATTAGTTTCATGTACTGAATGTAGCAAAAGACAAAAATTACAGTGTAGGTTTGATGTGCAAAAATGTGTAAATGATGGATTCTTGTCACAATGAGTTATGTTGGTCACATTGTCCAATAGTTGCGAAAAAAAAGCGTATGTTGAAATCAACAAAATCCTGAAATTGTCATACTCATATGACAAAATGTAAAACAATCAATCATGCACGTTTGATAGAATAGCAACAAGCAATGAGCTACCAAAGACACCTACAACAATCCAGAAATAAATTATTCACCATCGAATGTCATCATCGGGGCAAGAATACGTTTTCTCACAATAAATAAAACGGTATGAGGAACATCGTACAAGGAATACAACCAGAATCTATTAGGGTATCCATAAATAAAAATTCGGTAGAAAGGTGCCGGCGGTAACCACTACAGAAGAAACTCACTCATACAAACTCAGCTCTACATTCGGTTGGATCGATGATGATGATCTCGTACATAAACAAAACATAAATCTTTCACTTCCTCTGTGAGTTCTCCGCTATGCTCAGTACACAACGATATATTCACACCTTTTCGCAGACGCTAGTACCCATTGATAACTAGAACAGAGTGTCAGGGTCTCACTGTCTGTTGTGGGGTTACATCGCTTGAGCGCATGGTTCTCAGCCGCACGGATACCTAGCGCAGACTGGGATGGCGCCCATTTGTACCAAGGTTGCATGGGAATATACTCTCACACGTGACTGAGAGACAACATCCTATGTAAATGTGTGCGAGCGCCACGCTGGTTGCACAAAAATAAAATATAGTCTGTTTACATTAATTTATCATAAAGGGAAACGCGAGTCTAGGGCTACCAGCCAATATGTTCCATTAATATATTGCGTTGTCCATGTGTCCTGTGAATGATGTTTAACTAAGGAATAAGAGATAAACTAGCCTTCGGCAAAAAATCTCTAAAATAAAGATTTAAAAAAAAAGTTCTTGAAGTGAAAAAACACAATAAAATAATATATTATAATATTATACAATCTAATATAATAAAGTAAAATTTAATAGTATACCCTAATACAAATGTTATGGTTAATTTGCTTAACGACGTGTTCGGGGTATCATAGAAGCCATTTGTGGAATAGTTCAATAATTTGGGTTATCGTTCGTTTCTGGTAATGTTTTATTAAGGTAGATGTATTTAACATATTTGAAATGACTATATTCTTCATAATTCGCGTTAAGTTTAAGTTTCAAAACAATTATATTTATGCAATTTTTAAATTTCAATTCAATAACCGTGCAAAGTTTTGCAATGTGCATCAAGCCTTTTTTTAAGACAGCCGCGAGAGGCCAATTTTTAATCGCCCATAGGATTGAAAGACCGTGCTTAAAAAAATAAAGGTCAAATTATATTGAACATCATATGAAAGAGATTATTTAAATTTTATAAATTTTTGGCAAACAAAATTAAGTGTTTATAAACGTTTTTTGCAATATGTACTTTCTACTTACACAGATGCATACTTAAATACAGACACAAATATCATAATCATTGTTTGGATTAGCCCAACACAAATTGTTTAGTTTCAATATGTCTTGTATCATATTCATCACATTGTTTGCATATCAAACAAATTCACCATCAGCTTATGTCGGTTCACCAGTAATTGTTGTAAGCTAGCTAGCTAGCTAGGTTTTATTTTCCGTCAACCGTTTTCCTCCAGCCATTAGTTCAAAGCAATTTACAAAAATGCTGTAGAGTACTGGTAGCCCTAATCTAGTCGACCGAGCAAAAACTTGGCAACAAAGCATCGTAGAAGCATGCTTCCCTGCTTGTATCGCTCCGAAACGTGATCGGGTGGATTCACTTACACAAGCTCACCAACACAAATACAAAACACTCAGCTCGTGATATGTACACTCAGTGGCACTCCTTCGAGTAAGTAAGCATGTTTTTCGACCCGTCCGTTTGGGTTGGGATGCGTTGGTTTTCATTCCAAACTCCTGCCCGAGGCTGCTTCACCCTGACTGACTGATGTTACTGGGCTGCGCTTTGGATTTCTATGCCATTTTCCCTTTCTGTCTTATGCTGTTGCTATTTTTCCACCCAGTTGGCTGCATCAGCTTGGAGAAGAGTTTCATTCACTCATTCGTTCGTCGATCGCTCGCAATGCTCTCGGAATCTATACACACGTACAGTAGAGGATTGGCACACTCTGGCCAACGTTTGTCGGGGTTTCGTACAGGCCAGCAACAGCAGAAGGTACATCAACGGTGCGGAATTGTTTGATGTGTGTTGTTGCTTTGGCACGGTCTAACTGGCTCGTTGCACTGTGTTCTGCTCGTACGATACGCGCGGTATTCGTCGAAAAGCGACCCTCCGCAACTTGCAAGGGAGGAGAGTGTGTGCCCGGTTGTTGCGAGTTGTGTTTTTTCAAGGGATTTTTCATTAGAGAAGCTTAGTATTTGCATGACATTCGGGTAAATAAGACATAGCGAATAAGCCACGCGCGACAATGGAAATAGCTATTTTTCGCGGGTGACGAGTGTACGATATGCAGTGTGAAGTATATTGTGTGGATTTTTATTTCTTATTGATATTGCACATATCAAATCAGTATTTATTTATTTTTTCTATAACAACTAAGAGTATTTGTGAAGTAATTTGATGCAGTGAAAACGTGTATGCCTCTGTCACAGTTGATGTCGTTATTCAAGTCTCGCATCTAAATAAACCGCGACTGCCGTGCATGTCGGTTTCCTCAATGGAAGAAACCCGTGACCGTGATTAGCGTGAAATAATCTCAAAGAATTACAACTGATTAAGTTCCTACAGTCGTCAAGCTGCTTTGTATTGTGCCAGAAGAAGTCCCGCGGTGAAAATAGATAGAAAGTGTTTCCTAATTATGTGTCTTCAGGTTGGTAAATCCCTTCCGGTTGTGTGACACAAGTTGTACGGCGCGCGAAGAAAATCAGCGCCAGCGAGCAACAAGAGGGCAGAAAGTGAGAATCGAAGGCAAAAAATTGTAAGATTTATGATTCGATTGCAATCGTCGTACAGAAAACCGAGGAAAAGGCGACGCAAGAAAAAAAGAGATAATTTATTAGTATTGGATTCAAATTCAAATAAAAAAGAAAAGCGAAGAATAGAAAGGAAACCGTATTGGTGACAACCGCAGAAGATGGTTCTCTAGAGAAAGTGAGAGTGGCAGTTTTGGCTTTCAATTAGAAGCAATGTGTTGCGGAAGGAAGCGTTAAAAACGCACATCGAACTGGGAAGAAAGGTAAAAGATCAAACCTACATGATGCATTAACTACTACAAATTGATATCTTGTTATCCTCCGCAAAAAAATGAATGGCTTTAAGATTTATGAACAGCCTATCGTTGAAGCGCAGGAAAGTGTATCTTTAAAATGTGTGACTAATACAATGAACAAAGACAATCTAATTCTTGGACTCCTTACCCACAAAAAATAAACGAATTCCTCTCTGTCTGGTCAATACAGAAATGTCCAACTAACCCAAATTCACATGTCTTATATATGAACTCAAAAATACGTCTGGAGAGCAGTTTGTATCTCTCTGACCAGCGTTTTCGAATTATTTTATTCATGCGATACGTTTTATATAGCATACATTTCTCGACCACAAGCTCACCCGCGGCTGCCGTTTATTATCTGAACACCGGTGTTACTTTTATTTTCGACAAAATATTTTGTTGTAGCCGCAGCGCTATCCCATTCTTCCGGAGTTCTTCTTATCCGTTCGTTCGGTGCCACAGAAGAAAGAACGCTGAGCAGAAGTAATTTATTGTCAATTTTCTGGCATTATATATTCTGCGCGCGCATTTGGATGTAACGTGTTCTTTGAGCCGATGTGTCCGAGCCCGATTTAAAAATTGGATTCACACATATGCAGATTCCTGAGGTGCCATCCCAACACATTTATGGCGGTTATTGATTCAATAACAAAAACACACACGAGTACGTTAGCGATTATCAAAATTGTTAAACTTATAATTTTGTTTAAAGTCAACTGAACTCAAGGTCAGTCTGATGCTTTATTTTTCTTTAATTCACCGCTCAATCAGTAAGTCCTATGGTGGCAATGTCAATGTGTGGTGGAATACTGAAGCTTGAATTTTTTAACTGTGCTGGACGTTGTCCAAGGAGGTATGCAGAGTGATGTTTTCTTTTTCCAATGAATTTATATTATAAAATCCACAGATGATCTGAAACAAGTCATTTGCGAGTGGGAATTTACACACTACAGCCCCTTTGCTTAAAACTTTTATTCGATGTGTTTTTATTTGTTTATTACATATTTTATAGAAGTTTGATGAAAAAGCTGATGAAGATGATGTTGACGATTGTCCCACCTCTTACAAAAGAAGAACGCCATCATAAAGGAGGGGGGGGGGGGGCATAATAATAGTAAGGGTATTCAAATGCGTATCATAAACGTATAAACCTTTGTTGATACACTTAAATGGACCGTGGTAGTTTTAAAATAGTGTTAAAGTTTACGATGCGCTACTTGAATTCCACTAGTGTTTCATTCTCGTGTGAGGCTTGTGGAAAGTTTTGTGAGAAAGTGATGTATTCTTATGTTTTTACATACATGTCACAATCAAAAACTTTTTTTGGTTTTTTTTTTGTTTTTTTGTATAGTCACTTTAACACTCTAGGGTAATTTATTTATCCGGTGATGATATTTGAACGTGAGAGGCAGAGATGTAAACTACTACACCGGGGCCGTCCCCACAATTCGAAAATGGTTCATTCGAATACTCTCCATTTAAGCTTTTTGCATTGGGCACTAAAATTACAGAACTCTCAAGACATTTGACATTTAAATAATATTTTAATGTAAATGCTCTATAAGTAATTATTTTTTAAAGTAGTAAAATTTTAAGCAATAAAAAATATGTCACTTATTTAAATTAAAATTAGCGCACATTAATTGTTGAAGCGTTAAAATCTCCAATACTGCTTAACGGATCAAAAAGCGTATCAGAAACATATTAGTTATTTAAATAGGAAGCAAAAATACAAATAAATTTCTACTGTTTTGCCGTTAAGCTCTAAATTAACTATTATCAAACCATTTCAACATTTTCAATCCTAAATAATTGCATGAAATATGATGTTGTAGAAGTCCACAAAAAAAATACGGTAAAGCCGGGAGATCTGGGATCAATGGAACATCACTTTAATATCGGACGAGGTCTTCCTTATCGTGAAGACGTTGTTCTTTCGACTCCTACGCTTAACCCAGTAAATCGACTCCTACGCTTAACCTAGTAAATGCTTCAAGTGATACGAATTTGATATTATGTATTATCAATAAAGTATTTTGTTTTATATAATAGGGAAAATGAGTGCTTTGGCACTTCTTTATCTATTATTGTCAAGAGGGTAAATTAAGTCCTGGAGCGCTGATTTTTTGCATGAAGCTGCATCACATTCCACAGTATCGTTTTATAATACAAATTAACACTCTAAGACTTTATGAACCCCCTAACGATAATAGGTAAAGAAGCGTCGAAGCCCCATTTCCCCTAGATTTTGTCAATAATTATCAACATAAATAAATGTTAAAAATCGTGGTAGTTAAATAACTCATGAGTGTTTTTATTTATTAATTTATATTGGTTTACATTTAATCAGGATGCCCAGTGAACCGAGAAATCGACGAAACCGGGAAGAACTGGGAAAAACTTTATTTCGATGACAGATCGGAAAAAAACATCCTTCTTCCTCCATTCGGAAAAAAATTACGATGATCAAAATCATTGAAAAAAAAATCATGATCCTTGGACTATCCAAAATTTCCAAGATAAAGCAACTTTGAAGAACTATTAAGAGAACTTTTTTTCAAAGCAATTTTGAGGAGATCAGAATTCTAGGGATAACATCAAAGTATTTCAGAGAACATTTTCAAGGGTGTTTCGGGAAGAACTAGGACTTCAAGTTTTTTGTGTGAGTTCAGAGTAAACTTTTTAAGAAGCTCTGTACAATTCTATGACGATTGTGAAGAGGGTTTCAGGATGCGAGAAAAAGGGTTACAATACTACAATTTGAGGATACAATTCCAATGAAGTCTTGTAGAGGAAAACCTGTTTTAGTTAGCGATTTAAATTCTCGCCATTCTCAAAAGGGCGTTACACCGTCATATATTTTCAGCATATGCATTACATGACAATTAAATACATTAAATAGCAACAAACAAAACAAAATATAATTTTAAAGATCAAAAGATAAAACTTAAAACTAATACAATAGTGAAGAAAAAAAAAACGTTCGATAAGCCAAATAAGGAAATCAGCTCTATTATTTGGTATCTGGTCTTGTAGAAAGGAATAAAATTATCAGGTAGCAAAATTTGTTATCCAAAAACTATATTTGATAGGGGCTCACATGTTCCTCTTTTGTATAACGTTATGAAATTATACATCAACAATTGTGGGTCTTTCAATTTAACATTATCATATCAATGATCTGTTTTGAATGTGTGAAAAAACATGAACATAAGAATGAGCACGAGCACGAATATGATTGACCGTCTACGGTTGCTAATCTGTTATTGCCTGATCTGTACAGAGAAGCAATAGATGATGCTTGGGACTAGAATTCATCGTCAATGTTTAAAAACTAGGCAATACCAGCGCCTGCCGCGCCCGAATGCAGGTCAAGAAAGGAATGGGTAGGAATGACGTGACGTGACACTCACTTTGATAGAAGCCGAGGATTCCTCTGTACTTCCACGAAGAATAACTGGGATGTTTGGTAAGAGGGTTGAGTTTGCAGCAGGGCTCGTTTTGAAAAACGATAAACTGAATTGATGTCCTAACGATCATATAACGTGGAGGAGCTTGAAATTGAACCCACGGTCTTCTGCTCAGTAAGCAAAAACGTTTGCCACTAGCCAAAGAGCTTCTTTTTAATCATGGGCCCGAGATTAGAACCACGATATTCTGCTCAGTAAACAAAAACGGTCGCTCTAAGGCCACCGAGCCTCTCAAATCACATCATACCGTTACCTGACTTATTGTAACCATTAAACCCCGCACCGAAGATGGAGGAGGTGGATAAATGGCGGTGGATAAATGCGGGTTGGACATTTTAACGATTTCCTTTATTGAAAGATTTTTAGCCAGCTGGCTACTTCATCTTATATAAAAGTTGAAAACGTGCTTTGGATGCTTATGATACTCGGCATGAGTTATTAGTTGTGTAGAAACAATGAAATGAGAAATATAGTATCTTTATCAACACTGCTTTGAATCGCAGCTATATAGCTGCGATTCAAAGCAGTGTTGATAAAGATACTATATTTCTCATTTCATTGTTTCTACACATATCTATACTAGTGATGGTCGAGTTTCGGTTAACTGATTGAAATAGGTTTGATCGTTAGAATAAAATTCAAGTTCGGGATTAACTTATTAAAAATATCGGGCTTCAGATCATTAAAAAAACAGACTGTTTGGTACAACTTTTATCACTATTTACTTTATATAAAAGATGTATTAATTACGCGTCTTTTCGTTTCTTGTTTATGCATTCCTTGCAGGAACAAAATTGCCAAACTTTTCTTGACATGGTCGATTACATTAAAAAGCAAAGACCGCCTGCAGTTTGACAATAATATTGATGATGTGAATACAGAAATATTGTCAATACCGTTTGTATTTTGCGTTTCTATCTGGACTTCTCAAAAGTGCAGAATCGCTAATAAAAGTGCAATATTAAGTTTTATCTTCTTTGTACTTTTTCGTTATTAGCTGTGGAGTAATTACACCGAAGGTACCAACATTTGTTTTTTTTTTTACTTTTTATTATAGAGATTTTTAGCCGTAGGCTAGTACCAACACAATTTATCGTCGAGCGTAGCATTGTGGAGTAGAATTCTTACTCACAAATCATTCCATCGAGCCTCACAGCTAGTTTGTGAGCGAAGGGGGATACAACTATAGTCGCTATATTTATAGTCTAGGGGTATAGAATTTCGATCTATCAAACAGCGGAACCAATTCAATATATTGTAGACCAACAATTGAAAAGGTACTATCAACTTTTATAAACAAAACGTTGATGATTCTTTCCTCGCCAATCGAACGCAAATTACCAGCATCATCGGACAGGGTAAACTTTCCCCAACCCAAAGATGATGTTAGTTTGCGTAAGCGAGCTTTGAGTCACGAGAAAAAGGTTTCCGAAGTATTTTTTTTTTGCAATATAGCGGATGTGCCAAACATGAAATTTGTTAACTTCTGAAGCA